GCGCGTAACTACTTGAGATCCACGACCAGTTTTCTTTCTCTCAACTGAACACGTGCGGTTGTAGTAGTTATATAACATCCTCTCTGACAAGAGGATGGATCTGTCACTTACAATTGCTGATGGTCCTCGCCAGCGCAGTCATTTTCGGATCCGAGTCCCGCGGGAATCATGACCATAATTTTTACGACCTCAGATTCCAGACTCCCCCAACCTGTAGGGCCAGATCCCTGTATATATATCCCCCAGAGACCGGTTGGACCAGCTGCACCCCCAGGCAATGATTCCCTTTTCGTCACCTTCTACGACTCGCAGGGTTTCTCCTTAATAACTGAATTACTTCTACGGGATATATAAGAATTCAGTCCGTACCTCACACGAAACGCATTACGTCTCCGCTACAGAGCCTAACCGGTTAATGCTGTTTAGGGAAACAGTCGCTGTTTACTGTGAGAACCGTACGGAACACACAGATACAACCGGTTAATGCTTTTTAGGGAAACAGTCGCTGTTTATTCTGAGAACCATACGGAACACAGAGATACATTCTGTGGGCAGAATGCAGTATATATAAGAATTCAGTCCGTACCTCACAGGAAACACATTACGTCTCCGCTACAAAGCCCAACCGGTTAATGCTCTTTAGGGAAACAGCCGCTGTTTATTGTGAGAACCATACGGAACACACAGATACACTCTGTGGGCAGAATGCAGTACATATAAGAATTCAGTTCGTACCTCACAGGAAACACATTACGTCTCCGCTACAAAGCCCAACCGGTTAATGCTGTTTAGGGAAAGAGTCGCTGTTTACTGTGAGAACCATACGGGACACACAAATACACTTTGTGGGCAGGCGGTACATATAGTAACCACTGGGCTTTATAAAAACAAGACAGTTACTTTATTGACCTAAAATTGTATCGTAAGGCAGTCGATACCGTTTACGTACTTGATAACCGATACAACAAAGCATATGCAGCCGTTTTGTGATATCTCTGAGGAAGTGTCTGTGTTCATGTTGTGCTGCAAAATTGAGTATGATATATCAATATTACGCCGCTGGGTAAAAAGCGTAAGGTCATGGTCCTCTAGGACATCGGCGTATCCGGTTCTAGTTCAGATCGGTTCATATACATATTTGTGTCTGCGGCATTCTGTGTAGTGTGAGCAAGTGCCTTCCTAAAACATGTCCGTCTCTTTGTTGCCAACAGGTGACACTAATGTGTTAAATGAAAGCGAGTGTTGCCACGTGTGACATGCGCACATGGACTGCCCCTGTAATATGTACCGGATGGTTTAGAATTTGCACATAACTCGGAAAACTTCCTCGGTTGTTTCTGCGACGAAAATTTGAATAAGAGAGTGCATTTTACCTCAAGAAATGTTATTACTTTGCCTGCTTTTATTTATGTACAGTAAACCCTTGCTAATCCGGTTAACGTTAATTGGGATCGAAATATGAGAACGCTGTTCACAGCTGAGCATATACTTTGAGAAGCACATGACATTAAGGAAGGAAGCCGAGTTACTTGTCTGTTCAGACAAAACTTGACGGTTTCTTCAAACCTGTATTATTACGTTCAGAAACAAGTACAACTTCTGAGTCTTCTGTGAATGACTAAATCTGTTGTTTTATATAGTTTTTAAATAAAGGCCCTACAGTGATATTTTGCTATTCAATTTGATGAACACTATTTATATCATTAAATTTCCCATTTATTTATGTTGTTAAGTTTTTTTTTAAACTTTTAGGGCCACCTTTGGCTTCACTGATCCGGATTATCCCATAATCCGATGACCTCTCGCCTCAGTTAACCCGGATTAGCGAGTGTTTACTATATTTGTGACTACTGCCAGTAGTTCGATTATCCTGCTCCAAAATGTGTGATAACTAGTGAATGATAAGTTTGAAAGGATGAGAAATGGCTTGCTTAATGTGGTAGGTGTCCTGGCTGGGACTCGAACTGAAGGATTCCCGAACGAAGGTCACGAGTGTTACCGCTTGAATTAATCGTCTCAGCATCAATTTGTACCGAAGCGCATTGTTATCAATAATTACTGGTCATTTGATGTCACAGAGGTGCTTCGTGTTTAAGTGCGAACCTATGAACAGGGCAACATAACGAAATTTGAAATCTGACATGACAACACTGGAATTGCGTCGCGACGGCCCGCGCCAGCTCCTCAGACACTTGCCAAGCGACGCAGGGGCTTAAGAGATGATAAATTTGCTGTATGGTAATTAATGGACCCGCTTGACACGAAGGATAATTCAAAGGGTGGAAAATTGATTGGGGAGCAGGTTGAATTTGATTTAAAAAAAATAAAAACGGACGTAGAAAGAATAGTAAATTCCGCTGAGTAGGGCCGGACCACGACGCGCCTGTGGGCCTCTGAAATTTTGCGTCATATTTCAATTCGCTGTAGAAAGAAATTCCGTGGTTAAGAAGTTTATAAGCTATATTTGAAATTCTTACGGCAGTGCCCACGAGGAATACCCTCTTCTGGGACGTGACGCCGTATCGTCTGATTGATCCTTACGGGACGGAGAGAATATATTCCTCCGAAACGTCTGTAACAGTCTGCCAGACTACACAGATTATATCTCAGAAGTGAGTAATATTCAACTTGAAAACCGTTCATAGATTTATCATTTCGTGCCGAGAGTAATTTGGGTTATTTATAGAGTCGGTGGAAAGACTTTATGAGTCACCCTAGAAGTGCCAATTTTAATTCCTAGAGCTAGAAGCCGCCATTTTAGACTGTCAGACCTGCTGTTTCTTCTTACAAAAATAATACATAAAAACTCGAATGTAAGAAAAAGTCCGTTTCAAATGTTTATTGACTATGTAAGTAAGATAAAACGTCAACAGATGTCACATACAGCATCTTATAGTAATTTTCGTATAGTCGAAATCTTCAACACCTGGCACTTGTAGGGTGAAAAGGGACGTCAGAAGGAAATCGGGGGTGGGGGGGAGGTTCATACGTGACGTAATGATGGTGTAGACTTGAGCGTCAGAAGCTACACTGAGGATCAACAACAACACAAACAATCAGACAACATACTACAACAACATGGACTGCAATGTTATCCAGTCACAGAGGGACTGACACTGAAATAGTGAGACAGGTGACGGTCACAGTGAGCACGGCATGGGGCAGGAAACACCAACACATTGCATTCACATACGAACGGTCTGGTTCGTCGCGTTGCGTCAATTTCCGCTCAGCCAGGCTCCAATGTTCGTACTCAGTCGATGTGGCAGGTTTGTAACTTGCCGTCTCGGAAAAAAACCTCTGAATCTGTTCGCCTTGCTCCCATCTGTCCCTTGGGAACATGCAACCGAGCCAGCCTCAAATTTCAGCAGCTAAGGTACCTCGCCAAAACTCGACCTGTCTCACTCAACCCTCCGCAGTTCCAGGGTAATTCAAATGGTTTTCTAACCAGTTCTTCTAAACCGGATTTGAATCCAGTTTCGGTACTTATGTTTTAAAATTCGCCGCCATGTTTTTATCACGTTAGCGCCAACCTCGGAAAGTATTTGTAATGACAAAACCCAAAACCTAACCCCAGAATTTGTCTCCAATACCGACCACAAGTTTCCGTTATGAAGAGGTTAGGATTTCGTTTTGTTTTTAAAATAAATATATAAAAAGTTCGCAAGTTGGGCTTTTGTTTCTTTTACGAATAATCTCCTAAGGTTGGTAGTGATAAAATGGCGTGAAATTATAAAGCCAACCGGACCACTCGTTAGCAGTAAATGCCGCTTATGCTCTCTATGAACTGACTGATGGGAACATGAATGTGCCATATGAGGGGGATCAGAAAGTCATTTTACAAGACACGTCTTAAGTGATTAATTAAATCGCCCATGCTGGCAACACGGCAAACTTCGTAGTTCCCGTGAGAACGGGGTAGGGGCCATCCTTTGCCCCTGGAGGTCACTGTCCTCTTCCTTCGTTGGTCCTTTGACAGCAGATTCAAGGTCTCTATCACTTTTAAGTGCCTGACCTCCGAATGTTTCTTAATCTGTTAGGATTATAACTTAGTATTAGTTTTAGTATTGTTCAAATACTGTAGCACTGACGACGGCAATGATCATGATGTCGAAACAACAGTGGACTTCTATGGAAAATTCATCTTCAGGAGTATTACGAGTAAATCGTGTGAAATTTCGCGTCCTCACAGTGGTAACCATGGACACCACTATCTTCTGAAACCGGTGCGGTGTTGTGTGGGAAATGTTTACCAAAGTTCCTCCTTATATCGCAGGTTATTTAACGTATGAATGATGAATTGGAAAGGATCTGGAAGGGAATGGTCCTGTCCTAATCGATGTACTATAATCTCGTGGACAAAATCTCAGGATTTCCGCTGTTCTGGTCCAGATTCGAACCGAGCACCTCCGGAATACAAGTCTAAACCCTTACCCCTATTCTAACCTGCTGTTAAGACTTTTCTGGGCTGTGATGCCATGATATTCACTGACGTCAAGGAGGCATGTACTGCCTCCATCTTCAGATTCAAAGTCTCTTCGACCCTGAAAAAGGAGGTAGCACGTTCCTGTGAAACGTTCGTAAATATGTATCAGGATAGACGGCGTTACGTCCTATAGGAAACCATTTTAGATATTATAGAATGAAGGTGCTGTAATATTCATGGTGAAGATGCAATGAAACGCTTAGAAATGCCTTGTAAATTTACTTTCTGAATGCACTTCTTTACGTCCAACGGCGACTGAAACAGGCGGGGGAGGCTGTGAGTGTTCCGTGTGCGTCTGAGAGCTGAGAACATAATTCAGATGGGCTGTGCATGTAGAGTGAGGGCTGGACGGCTAGCAGCGCGAGTTACAAGCCCACCTCGAGAACCAACATTGGAAAGCAAGAGTAAGTTCACAAAACACAGACACCAAGCGGTGTAATATATACAGTAACACATAATCCGATCAGAGTGGCTGTTGGCCAGTTATCGAAACCGATGACGTCACCAGACTCACCATTTTATAATCGTCTATTTTGCTGATTGACCGTAGATAGATGTTGACGCTGACCAAAGTCGCCGCGCCCGCTGATGCTGACAACCAACAAACAAAAAGAATTAGACATTAATTTCTTTATTTAAATAAATGTTAAGATAAACAGTTTGTTTTGATCTGGAAGTGCGTCAATCAGCAACACCGCGCATGCGCGCGGCACCACCATTTTCGTTACTAGGTTTACCCTCGGTGTGAACCGACGTCCTCTTGGGCAGCTGGGACCACACTATAATACGTGCCGTGACTCGATAACGGGAGCTGGCACAGGTTCCACAAGTCATGAAGGAGACACGCTTCGACCGCCTTTACTCTAGGCACCCACTGTGAGGTGACGGACGCGGACAGGATACATTCTGGCATCATAGCCCATGATTTCAGAGTCGTTCTACACGATCTTGAGCCAGTTCAATCCATCTCCAATATTCACAACCTAATTACCTAAGATCCACCTTAATGGTTAACTAGTTCTCTGGCAGCAGAATCTGAAATATTGACACCTACAATTCCGTAGCCTGCTATTTGACAGCATCGTGTGCCAGTTTAATCCACCTGCCATCCTCACAACCCACCTCCCTGAAGTCCATCGGTTTCCTGACTAAGTAGACTGTGAACTGACCGCTCACCTCTGTCCGGCGCCCACGCAGATAATGCATTTAAATTTCAGAATGCCTTCATGACTTGTGGGCCCTGCACCCAGAGTTAGTTAGGACCAGATGCTCAACAACCATCTTACTGATGCGTTACCTTCAGTGCGGTGAGGCGTCTCGAAGAACATCCGGCGGAAAAATGTCTAAATGGAGCTAGTTCAAAATGCAAACTCAAATGTTCCACTAATGAAAATAATTATAGAAAAAGGAAACAAAGCGATATGCCAACTAGATTTATATGTATGCACTGCAAATCGCTGCCAAGAAATATCCCCATGTGTCAAAAAATCCCGGACCGGCACGTGTCATGTGTTCGGGTGTGATTGTTATTTTGGACTGGACTGCAAATTGACTGAATCTGCCGCCATGTGAAACAAGTTGACTAACTATGAAGTTATGGGAAGAAACGCCGCTCAAATGTTTCACTAAACATGAGGAATATCATGAACTCTATATTGATAATTATACAAAGTTCCACTGCCACAAATTTTCAGTAAGTTTTCTTTTTCAGAACTAGCTTAAAAGGGTCGCACCGTCTCCGTGCTATTTAATGTACTACCAAATTATCCATCGATGCAAAGAAGGGAAATAATCTGTTTCTGTCTGTTCCATGTTTCCATTTCATATCTTTATGTCCTTCCCGCCCCTTTCTCCCACATTGCTTACACTTCCCCTGTGTTTTCTATCATTCCATTCCCCCTTCCTTCTTCCCTCTCCTTCACGTTAAAATAGTCCCTTTGCTTCGGTTCTTCCACTTTTTTCCCACGTCTATATCTCTGTATGCTTTCTCCCACATTGCTTCCCCATCCCTTGTGCTATCATTCAGTTCCCCCTTCTTTCCTCCCTCTCCTTCACGTTATAATAGTACATTCACACCTCGGTCTAGCATTCCTTTATGTAGCTTTCTAGTAGCTTTTATTTGTCTTTCCTGCCTGCTTTCCCCTCCCCGTATCCTAGGGACTGGCTTTGAGGTTGTATGAGTCGGCTGTCCCACAAAGTACCAATACTTTGAACATTCATATAATCATCCGCTGTGACTTCAGTATTGACCCTACAAGTGCCATGTGTCGACAATTTCGACTTCTAAAATACTGCTATATCTGACAGCACGTGAATCTGTAGGATATATTATCGCAACTAGTTCTTCTCTACACTTGACATTATTGTTTAGCAGTGAAATGAAAATTGTGGATTGGGCACTTCTGGGGTTAGTGAGAACTGGTTTCTTTCCGTTTCAGCAGGGCAACACTTGCAAGCTACGGTGGCGGTGTGGAAACTTGCACGAAGCTCACGAAACAGTTCATTGCGAGACTGTGGTTATTCAATTCAGTGAGTAAGTTCCAAAATCAACAGTGGTACAAGCAGTGACAGTGTTCATTGTGCGCACACTACAGAACAGTAAGCTAAACTTAACTTGTTCTCGTGAAATCTGACGTTTTCACGGCGGTGGACGTGGAGGGGGGGGGTGCTATCTTCCAAAACGTAATGCCTCAGAAAACTACTGCCCACAACTTTAGAATGGAAGAAATAACTTTTTACGCCTGTAAGATGGAGGAAAGAAGTTCTTCCGGAACTTCTACCGGACTATACGGCGCAAAATCCTTGAAGATAACACGTTTAATATTCACAGTTGTGAAACTCTAGGATCCAACATGGAAGTTTTATTTCTGCTCTTTGAATTTTATTGACTTCTTCGTTGTTCAAATATCACTCTAATGTAACAAATTCGGAAATTTAAGCTTTTGTCTCCTTCCATGCGTGTAATTTTAATGGCCTCTTTGTCGTCTCATGTACTCTTCGGTAACGTGTACCTTGTTATTTATAGCACGGCCATTATAAGAAATGCCGAAGCCCAAGATGTTAAAATGTAAAACTGGTCCTATACTTAGCCCCAAACAAACATTTTGGCTCTGTGAACAGCCAAGTGCCGGGTCAGAGATGAAACCCCAACTTAAACATCGATGATTTGATAATTTGCTGCGTGATCAAGGTCATCACACAACTCAGGGGGCGGTGACAAGTGACAGTGGAACATTGGTAGACTGGTATTTAGCAGGGGAAACCCGAAGAAACTCGGAGAACACCCTAACACCACTGACACTTCGTCCACCATGAAGGTCACATTAAGTCACCTAAGATTGAAACCGAGACCCCGTGGCTAGAAACCAGTGCCTAATCGCCTGATATGGCGTGGCTTTATATACGTGTATAATCGAATTCAAATTACAATTTCGTTTACTAGTCATTTGAGTTGGATATTATTAACTGGTGACCCTCCGGTCATCAGGCTGTGATTTCTGTGAGGGCTGTTCAAATGAAACCCGTTCCCATGTTAGGTCGAAGACGTCAGGAACGTGGTTGTACCAGCACCGACCTAGGGAGATTTTTTTTTGTGGAAGGGATCCAGCAGCCTCTGATTCGCTGTGGCGTCTGTTTTAACCGCAGTTGGACTATTTAACAGCCTCTACTACTTCGCCCAGTACAATCCCGAACGGGTTTCTCTTGAACAGACCATATAGTTACAAGTAACAAATGCTACACGAAATTAGTGAGACATTACAGTAGTAGCATGAGGTTATCGGAAACGTAAATGTTTTCAGCGCTCTTTACAACTGTTTGAAACAAGCTGTACTGTACTTATCATAAAAATCGCCAAATATTTTCGTCTTTCCACAAATATTTGGCAACGGCGTGTGCTAGATAAATATGCCTGACTTTGTACAGCCCTGCGGCAAGGGCTGCAGCCATGCTGTGCAATTTAATCGAAATGTGTGAAAGTAATGAAGTTCAATGTAAAGGTAAAGTTGTGTCCTGCTTAATTAGTTAAGCACCATGCCATGAAGACCTCGGCCCCAGCCACTTTACCCCCGGTGGGTGAGTGGGCCCCAGAGTAGGTCTGGACGTTGTGGAGTACGTGATCAAAATAAAACAAATCTTTATCGTTAAGTGAAACAATGAGACAAGTGCGACAATGCTGATTTGATTATGACTTACCATTCTTACGTCATCAATTTTTGAGATACTTCGCAAAAACATGTTGACGTGCACAACAGCCGGTCCATCTGACATGAAAGAAAACGTGGTTAATGCTTTGCATGTGCCAGAAGTGACATCTCTGTATAGGAGTGAGTAGTCTCAGCAGGACAGTACATGTCGACTTGCAGTTTCCATGGAAACAAACTGCAACAGTGACCTGAGTGGAACAGTTCTACGTTCTGAGACGCGGCGCCTTGCAGTCCGGTAGAACTTCACCGAATTTTCGGGCTCGAGATTAGGCCAAACAAGGAGCCAGTGAGAAGAAGGCGTTACCCTGATCCCCTCTTCGGGCCATTAATTTGTAGGCGGTATGTCCCTTCCAAACACAGGTAAACTTCTACCAGAATATACGGCGTCACATCCCAACAGAAAGTACCCTTCATCGTTACTGTCGTGAAAACCTCAAATTCAACAATAATTTCAGTTATGAGAGGGAGAGTGTGGCAGCAACAGTCTCAGTCGGTATTACAGAGTCGATATTTTCTGGAAGAAAGACCCTTCATATAATGGACAAATTTATGGAGAACCATTAAAGCCAAAGGCAGAATTTATAATGTAGTACCTTTAAGTAATGTGTGTGTGTGTGTGTGTACGTGCGTTCGTGCCGGCCCAGTTCTCCAAAATCTCCCCCCCCCCAACCCTTTGTGACATGGACCAGAGTATCCTTCCTGTAAGGGCCCCTGTTGCAGGTACAGGATTCGCGCCTAAAAAATTCACACACGTGTACAGTCCCTGTTTCTAGACCTGGCCGCTCTTAAGAGACTGCGCAGTGGATTTGGTCGAGTCCACTAACCGAGATAAGGGCTGTGGGGTGTGTGTATGTGGGCTGCAGTAGTGTTTCACGCAATGCAGCTGCAACCACTGTACCTATACTTAATACTTCTTGCCACACGTGTCCTCGCTTGTCATGCGCAGTCCAAACCATAACCCGGAGAATCACATAAATTCAAAGACAGAAGCTCTGAGAACTTAGCGTACTGTAAGTCTTAGTTGCAGAAAATATTTCACAATTTTTTTTACTTTGGGCCTCAAAATTTGGACGGCTTATAAGCCATTTCCATGAATGCAGTAGAACTCTCAAAGATTACAAAACACTTCCCTCAAATAATCCAAGTTGCGTGAATTCAGTTGAACGTCAGAACAACGGCGTAAGCAACAGTATCCAGTGGCCACATTCAGACATTAGAAGTACGTTCTTTGGCCACGTAACTCAACACGTGAAACTTTTTACATGTAAAACAAATACTGTAAATGAGATTTTCATTAAGCATCTCGCCATGAAGGCGTATAAGGGAGTGGATATATAGATCCACATTTTCTTAACCTCGTGACTAGTTGGAGGTGAATGGTCAGCT